ACATGCTCTTTCACTTGTTACATGTTTGCATGTGTGTGTGTCTTGCTAAACTACTCTCTCAACATTTTGTGCATGCACATTTTAAAGACAAAGTATCTATTAGTTTTCATCAATTAGACTGGCGTGATCCTAAACGTGTAATAACACGTGAAGTTGTCAAAGGACTTTGAAATGCTGCTGGTGGGGCTGTGACAGTTGGAGTCGTATCTGGCAGTACTTGCCAGACCTGCAGAGGTACCTACCCTGGAGCCCAGAAATTCCAGGCTTGATAGGTAATAAGACAAAATCACATAGCATCCTAATAAACGTAACATTCCTGGACAAGGTTATGTATGACAACAGTGCAACAGAGAAGGAGTGTGAACAACCTAAACCCCTGAGCAGGAAGCTTCCCACCGGAAGCATCCTAAAGGGATGCCATGCACTGGGAAAACGGGAATGAGCAGTCTTTATATTTTGAATTGGGAAGAGCTCGAGGATATGCCATTAAGTGGAAAAAGCAAGGTGCACAACGGTGTGTGTGGTGTGCTGGCTACCGTGGTGCAGAAAGAAAACAACGTATCTGAATGCATCAATTTTCTTGTAATTGCATAGAAAGCTAGGGAGGGAAACCTGGGAAACCAGGAGCTTTACTGCGGAAGGTGAACCAGTGACTGCAGGCAGCGGGGGAGGAGGCCTCACCGTATACGACTTTACTATGTTTTTAACCAAGAGGCTGAATTATCTATTCAAAAGATTGCGTTTCTCAAAAAAGACAAAAAAACAAAAACCAAAAAACAACCCACGTCTCTGAGGACACATAGGGATAGCCGGGGACAGGTGAGGACAGCTTGCAGAGAGGTCACTCTGGGGTTAGTCCTGGGGGCGCGGGAAAACTGGACAACGGGTGAGTCTCAGAGGTGGCACCTCCTCCCGGGGCCCTGCAGGGGACACCGGCCATGAGCCTTAGAGAGCTGGGCCAGTGCTGGACCCTCCAAGAGAACTTGGCCTTGACCTTACTCAAGGTCGACAGCCGGCCGCCCCACGTAATTAAACGGTCAGGTATTAAGTGCCAGCGTCGAGTCAAGTCCTCTACGGTTCTGAGTTCGCAGGCAAACCCGGCAGTGCGGGGACAACAAGCCGCCACAGCTGGCCTGGGTCCCTCTGCAATCGATCGTATTTAAAGAGAAAACAAACGGTTAGCCAGACTTTGCCTGGATGATTCCACAATGCTCCCTGTGGCTTTGTACTGTTGACTCAAGGAAGGGAGGGAAATGAATATTTTTAATCCAGCATTATTCATATAAAAATGTCTCAGTTTTGTTTTGTTTTCTCAACCACAGGCCCAAGATGGAGAAGTATCTCCCAGTTGTGCACTGCCACCAAGCATGCTCCCGTGCCACGGGAATCGGCAGAGGCGATCCGGTCCCTCATCCCTTCCTCCAGCAAGTCTTTCTTGAGCACCTGCTGTACGCCAGGCTCTGCGCTGGGCACCAGAGGTGGAGACAAGTCACGGAGGTCAAAGTTAGAGCTCAGCAAATGACCCACCTGCCACCTCCAGAACCAGCCTGTCGATTTCTGGCTTCCAAGTCCCAAGACCCGATCACCTTGGGTGGTCTTGGGAGCTAAGGCAGCACCCCTGTCTCCATCTCCCTGCCCAAGCCCCATGTCTTCCTCTTGCTGTAAGTGGCAGAGGGGACTCCAGGACGAGGCCACTTGCTCCCCCTTCACTTGGAGATTAAAGCAGAGGATTTTGGTTGGAACGCAGCCCTCGGGCAGAACAGTCAGGAGGGGATGGGGTTTCTGCACTCAGGGGGTGGAACTGCAGATCAAAGGACACCTCTGTCTCCCAAAGACAAATGCCCCTTTCTGT